GAGCGGCGAGGGCGTCAAATGTGAGAGTGTCGACATTCCTGCTGATAGGCAGCCAGAGCTTTATATCTGAAATGCCTGCGGCTTCAGCAATCCGACCCATGTTTAGCATCGCGCGCCGTCTTGGCACTGTGCAACTCTTCCGGCCAGCGCATTGGCTGAAGTTACTTGACAGTAGACATGGAGTGTATCATTTACACATCACGCAGGCTGACTTGCCAATAGAAGGACAGCGGAACTGTTTGCGAGGGTTGCGACGACGTGCAGTTGCCGACGAGAGTGCACAGGCTTCGCTACTGAGGTATTCACCGTAGAGGAGGCTTGACTGCTTTAACATTAGGACAGGGAATGTAGAAGTCCATCCCCTAGGTTGCCGACTGGACTTGTTGGGCGGCCCGCTGAAGACCGCTGCATCATGCGTGCATTTGCGGCTTGGCGTCCAACAACCAGCAGTTTGCCCCTCATGGTTTGCTCCTTGCAACCTTTGTAATCGAAATGTGCGTCAAGTCGGTCGGACCGGGTAGCAGAGCTGTGGTGTGGTCGCGGGAAGAATGTTCGCAATGCAAACATAGTTGGTTGCCGAAACGAAGATTCATTTCACGCCGTCATGTCAGAAATCCACTTTGAGGAACGATGAATCTTCTGGAAATAATTATAGGCCGAGAGGCGTTGGTTTGACCTTGGCCTCGGTCCATGGAGACTGCCGAACTGGTTTTTACTCGTGCGATGTTGGGTTCCAATAATAAATTTACCGTGCAATAAAGAATGTAATCTTTTACTTATGCAGTATTTCCGTTGGCCGAGATTCTGCACTTTTGTTAGGACACCACGGTTCACAGTCCACACGGACATGACACGTGTTGCCTGCGGCAACACTGCCCGGAGCAATTTGAAACGGTCGCACCGGGCGATGGGAGGGGGGTACGGCAGGAGGCGGGTAGGGGGTTTGCACGTGTTGGGTGTGGCCTGCAGTGCGTTTTTGTCCTCAGCGAGGGATGTTACAAGGACGGGGAAGGCGAAGAGGCCAACAAGCAACACCAGGGCCAACACTTGGGGCAAGCAGGCCCCAAGAGCAACCGCCCCGTGGCATGACTGAACATTAAGTATCCCGGGCCCCGGGGGCACCCCCGGCGCGAGAGGGTGTCCATGCCGGTGTCACGGCCGCAATCCCCTGCTCCCACAAATCCCAAGGGAATCCGCCACCCCCCCCCCCCCCCGGGCGTAAGGGAGTCCGCGGCCATGCAAGCCTCGCCCGCCGTAAGCTCCAGCTCCAGGGGTGCAGCGTGTCGCTCAGGAAATGGGGTGCCGGTGCCCCATACAGTTGCCTCCCCCTCTGCGTGCCCACCGTTTGTGTTGAGCGCTGGCTGCCCTGCCGGCCCATAAATATGCTAGCCGTCCCCATCTGGCCCGTATTGGGTTTTTGGTGTGCTGTGAGCCCCACCCCGTACCCCTCGAAGCCGCTTGTCTCTTCTCGGCCGCACGGTGCACCCTGACTGACCGACTCCTCTGCGAGTGCTGTGTCTTCCCCCTTTGGCCAGGACCCTCGTGCAACACAGCACCTCCCGGCCGATTCAGCGACGCGTGCCGTCCCTGTCCCCTTTGCCATGCACTCACTGCCTGAGGCACGTGACGCCCAGTTCCTTTGTGCCCGGTCCCGTGCGTGGTGCACCCCTCCCCTGCAGACCCCACGGTGTGCGCCGCCCCCCTTTCCCCTTGGCTCTGTTTCTCGTGTGGTGCACTCTCCCCGTGGTGCACGCCACCACCCTTCTCCTTATACGGTATTCGGTCTCACACTCAATGCACCCCTCCTGGCAACCCCAGCGGCGCACACTACCCTCCTCCTTTCCCACCCTGTACTCGATGCCGCACGCCATGCGTCCCCTCCTGCTGTCCGAGCGGCGTGCATCACCCTTTCCTGTTTCCCCATGGACTCGATCCGCACGTGGTGCACCATGCCTCAGCGGCGCACGCCGCCCCCCCCCCCCCGGTCCCTTGGTAATTGGTCTCGCGCGTGATGCACCCCTCTTTGGCCGACCCCACGGTGCGTGTCGCTTCCCCTTTCTGCCTTGTGCCATATTCCGTGTGTGATGCACCCCGCCTACAGCCCCCCCGGTGCGCACCACCCTTTCCCCCCGAACCCGGCCCCGTGCGAGATGGGCCCCCCGCTGCCGTACCCACGGTGCACGCCACCCCTCCCCGTTGGAACCGGTCCCACGCGCAACTTGCCCTTGCACAGTTGTGAACGACCTGTGTGTGGCGGTATCCGTCTCCCGTGTCGCCTGCCGCTCCCCGTGGCCTTGGCCTGAGACCCCTGTCCTTCCCGTAAGCCCAGGCTCGTCGTGCTGACTGACCTGGCCCGCGCGGGCCGAGCCTTCAACCTTGGTGTCCGGGGGCGGTGGCTCTGTTACTTGACGTGTGGGGCTGTTGCCCGGCAGCCGCAGGCCCAAGCCTTGTCTCCCCATCTCGGTGTTTGGCAACGGTCCTCGACTAGCGATGTTGAGGCGTGGCATGGTGTTGTTTTGCCTCGTTTCCAGAAGCCGCATGGTCCCGCTCATTGACAACAGGTGCGCCATAGCTCCGAGGATAAGTGTGACGAGCACTGTACGCCCTGGGCCCCAGTTTGCCATTATACTAAATGTTGTCGCAGGCGTCTGCTTTGTCTGAATGCAGTTTGGCACCGAAACGCCAAGCATTTCGCTGTCATGAGCGTCATCATAAGCGTCGTCGTACCACCGACACCCCATCGGTGAAGCCGCGCTTACAGCATGCCCTAGCGGGATGTCAGTAGTACTGATTGTATGCCGTTACGCTTATTTTTTAGGCCGCCTTAAGGCCATTGAACATGTTGCAACCGCTGCCGGCTGCGACCTATCTGATACTGAGCTTTTGTCAAACTGTCATATGCAACATAATTCCATGTCATGTTTGTTTATGTGCCGGCGTACAAATTTGCTGAAGTTACCCTCTCAGGTCGCTATCCGTTTGTGAATGTATTGCGACCGGCGCCTGAGGTCGCGCCGCATCGTGCAATGCACGTTGTTTACAATGCGGCATTGACTGCAATTGAAAGACTTCATTGGAGGCGTTCTGGTCGCGCGCCGGTGGGTCGCTCGTCCATGGAGCCTTTGAATGGCTGCGACGTGGGCGTGCCTGGCTCTCCGACACGGAGGCAGCCATCAATAATATAGAATGCTGATTCCTAGAAATTTCGGTGGCCAGAAGTCGCAAAAGACGAGTGCGTTTGGCGACACCACATTTTTTTGGGGGTATGCAGTCCCTTCGCAATCTACGATTGCTCCGGGAATTGCTCCGGGAACATCAGGGGGGGGGCAGGAAATCAAAAAAAATACCCCACGCTCGAAATCGAAAGCTTTTTGCATAAGGAGTCCAAATATGCTTTCAGAAGTGAATTTGGACCTGGGTATAAAAAGTTATGGCCTGTCAAAGTTGGTTGTACGGCAGGGGGGTGGGTGGGTGGGTATGGCTCTCGGAGACTTTCTTCCATACCCTTTCAAACTTTTTCTACAACGCTCAAAATGTAAAACTAACTTCACAAAGCAAGTCCTTGATGTCATATCTATCATTTCCCCATATCAGGGGCACTATAGCGTACTGCGTTAAGTCGGAACTTTGTGCATGCACATGTCGAGTGACGGCTATGGACGATAACGACAAACCTACATCTTCTCCCATAAATAAGAAGCCCCGAAAGGACGAGCATACTTTGGGTGCGGGTGGTGGTGCTTACGGGAACCCGGCTAGAGTGTCGCATCTGAAGGTGCCATGCCTCCGTGGGTGCGGAGCCCTCCTTCCGGAGAACATAAACGACGCAAACTTGGAGAGGCACCACGCTAGTGCAGCGTACAAGCAAGGGCGCGCAGACGGGAAGGCATGGAGTGATGCCGCCAAGTACTTCCCGAGTTCGCTTTCCTGACTACTGTCGATTGAAATGCATTTGACATGTTGAGACATTATTTTCGTGCAGTTGACTTTGGGATAAAACGGTTTGGTTGTTTGTTTGGAAGTGGACAAACAAAGACATTACACCTCTCGGTCGGCACTCTTGACTTGCATTCGCGTACGTTTGTAAATATTCATGACCGAAATGACAGGATTTCGCTAGTTGCGATGGCGGTTTGCGAAAAACGCGTTAATTTGTCCTGTTTTACGACAACCGTACAGCATCGTACGGTACGGCAGGGGTGGGTGGGTGGTCTGGGGGGGGTCCGCCAACATTTTTAGCGTGGGGTCTGAAACTAAATTTCTTACCCGCCCCCCTGGGAACATGGGCAATCCTACAGGGCGGGGCCCCCCTGGGCGCTTCGCGCTGGGGCCCCGCCCAAAAACATTACCACATTCTCGATGTGTTAGATTTCTGTGCACCAGCCGAGAATCGAACTCGGGTCTGGTCCGTGGCAAGGACCTATGCTACCACTATACCACTGGTGCTGAACACTGCACATGTCCACTACATAAAAGATTTACTACCCTGTTTATACTTGCCAACAAACAATTGGCCTATGTTCATGCAAACCTGGTGTACTTGCTGATAATTATCCAGGTCTTTATAAAGACATACACTGCCCAGTGAGGGGCTCAGATAGAACTCACAAACACAAGGTTAAGAGTCTTGCCCTCTTCCACTGAATGAGCTGAACAGGCACATTTTCAAACCTCGTACACACAGAGACATGTATGGAGTGTGCACCAATGGATGTGTTGCACAGAAAGGGACCAGACCAGATGTAGGGCTCAGCAGTGGCACAACCAGTAGGGTGCAAAAATGTTTCCCATTCAGATATACTGGATATCCAATCATGGATGCATCTTACAAATACAAATAACCCACTACCCATGTCACTTACAAATTTCACACATCCCTCTTCCAGCTATTCACATGTGTAGTATGAATTTCCACTTATCATGCTCCCGAAATCCACCCAGCACCCAACATGTGCATGCCGAGTGAAGGACATGTTGCAGACATGTGTACATGAACACATATCCCGAGCCTATCAGGGATCAAATCTGGAATCTCCGGTTCCGTAGACCGGCGCTTTATCCATTAAGCGCACCAGGAGTGACGATCTTGGCACGCAGGCCCACATACAGCTCAATCAATAGGCCTCAGGGGCACAGGTAGAATTTATGTGCCAAAACATTGTGATGCTGGGTCATACATACATACTACACAGCTCACCATGGCCATGCCAGTCACCATTCCACATGAAAGCGTGATCCAATGGTACATTTCAGATAGTGTTTTTATGTGCAGGTCATCAGCATGGCAATGCATGGAGGATGCAAACGGGTAACTGTGCCAGAGCGCTGGCCCTCACCGCCGATTCTGCCTATTCGACTCGGCTGGCTCGCCTCCCGCGAGGGCTGCTGCGCGCGGATGCCAGGAAACGGGGTTTTGCGGGGTTGACGGGCGCCTTGTGACGCCTGGTGGGCTCACCGTTGTGCCGCTCGGCGGCCTTACTCCTCCGTTACCTCCACCGGGGTATTTCGCGCCAAGGCCTTCACGATCTACACAGGCATTCGAACTGGTCAGAGAACGGCGGTGGGTTGCAACAACGCGTCCATCTGGCGGCTGAAGCAGGTTTCTCGGTTGTCTCCCCGGGTATCCGACCCGGCACATCATGCTAGAATTGGGGGTTGGCGTGTCAGTTCTATCCCGACAGGCGCCCCTTAGCTGGCGCCGGCTCCGACCGCGAAGATGGCATGCAAACGATGTCGTCGTCTGGTTGCCGGCTGTGACCGCCCGTTGGCCTTCTACCCCGACGGAAAACAAGGCCGGCGGGAAAACTGTCCTGCATCGCGTGCTTTAGGGGTCAGATTCACGGCTCCTCAGCGCGGGTCCGGGTTCGGTCAAAGGTGGACCGCCCTTACCCCAGTTACACCGCCCGCGATAAGCGGCGGAAGAAAGACAAAAGAAATGATAAGAAACGGAATACACTTACCTTGGTCTCCATCAGGGTGGCTATCTTCAGATATGAATATATATTCGGGGGAAAATTTTGGAAATCTGAAGATACTTTTGCCGTGCAAAAAGTTGAAGGTTTAGATAATCTGGCCCCACAGGTGGGCATGATATCTCCCGGGGCCGTGTTTGGCCGGGAAAATCGCCTCCTAGACAGATTCTGACAGATACTCTCAGCACTTCTGAGCCAGGAGTATCTCTGGCCGTAGATACTCAGCAAAATAAGATAGCCACCCTGGTCTCCATCGTCGAGGCGCTCCTCTAGCAGTCCACTTGAAGTCGTGATGGTAGGGTTTGGGGCGTCGTCTTGAGGCTTACCGAAAGATTCCTACAGGTGGACGCAAATTGCTAGGTGTATTGGGCGCAGTCTGCATGCGGTCACGGCTCACTTGCGGGAGGAAGCCTCCAATTGTCGTACGGCCGTTGTCCCGAGCAATTAAGTCCCTGTAATTCCGAAAATGCCGTCCGTGTGACCTCATCGGCCACGTTTCTGTAAGTTAAATCAGCCATATTTATTCCTAAAGAGGCATATATCATATATTACCGCGGCTGACTACGGTTTGGCGCAGAGTGAGAATTTTGCGTCGTTTGCGTCATTTGCGTCTGGGCCCTAGGGGGTCGGGCAGGCTGTACGACACGTGTCCGGGCCGACTCAGAGGGTGAACAGGAAGACTCAGCGAGTGTTGCATGGGCTCTATTAAATTTATTGATTGCGGTGTTGGACTATATGAGTGGGCTGGGGACTCAATAGGACCCTAAGTGGTTTGCGTCATTTGTGTCGTTTGCGTCACCTAAGTGGGGGTCCCAGGGGGTGAGGGGCCTGTACGACAGGGAGGGGCGGGGAGGGGTAAGTGAGGAGCAGACTCATTAAGTGGGGTGGGGGGACGCAATGAGTGGGGCCAGACTCTATTAATTGGTTTGCGTCATTTGCGTCGTTTGCGTCACCTAAGTGGGGGTCCCAGGGGGTGAGGGGACTGTACGACAGGGAGGAGCGGGGAGGGGTAAGTGAGACGCAGACTAATTAAGTGGGGTGGGGTGACGCAATGAGTGGGGACAGACTCTCCTAAGTGGTTTGCGTCACTTGCGTCATTTGCGTCACCTAAGTGGGGGTTCCAGGGGGCCAGGGGACTGTACGACAGGGAGGGGTAAGTGAGACGCAGACTCATTAAGTGGGGTGGGGGGACGCAAAATAGAGTGGGTTGCATCGATTGAGTGTGGGGCTGGACGCAATGACTGGGCCGGGGACTCAATACCGGTAGAGTGGGTTGTGTCGATTGAGTGTGGGGCTGGACGCAATGAGTGGGCCGGGGACTCAATAGAGTGGGTTGCGTCTTTTAAGTGTGGGGCTGGACGCAATGAGTGGGCCGGGGACTCAATGTTGAGTCTAAAACACCAGACGCAGACTGAGTCTGGCCTCTTGACGCAAAAGCAGACTTAGGCCAGACTTAGGCCAGACTTGGGCCCTGTTCCGAAGTGATTTTGACTCCAGTGGCTTTATGTGGCGGGTTGCTGTGACCGCCGTACGCTACAACCGCTCACCTCGTGCTCTTCAGCACTCTGCATTTCTCTTATCAGCAGTTCTGACTGCCATGCCCCCATTCAGTCGGACATTCTTAAAGCTTACAACATCATGCAACCGAAATTCACACAGCACCCAACATTTGAATGCCGTGTAAAGGCCATATTAGCAGATGTAGACATGTGAATGTAGACCCATTATCCCGAGCCTATCAGGGATCGAATCTGGAATCTCCGGTTCCGTAGACCGGCGCATCATCCATAAGCCATAGGCTCTTATCCGAATCCAGGCACCTGATGAGCACCGGGAACGTGATGGGAAAATTGACGACCTTGGCAGGGCCACAGCTCTGTCGAGAGCAAGCGTGGGTGATACGAATGCGCGGTTGGACGCAACAGGTCGTGAATGATGGTTGAATGTGGAACGGACTAACCTAGCGGCAGACAACGCTGAAGTGTGTGAAACTAGCTTGCTCCCGCATGAGCAAGACGTAAATATTCGGGTTGAAGTCAATTGCTTGTAGCACAGACCGCGGCTCGCTGAGCCATTAGTTTGCGCAGCACCATCGAATGCCCGAGCGCTATGGCCGCGAAACGGAGAGAAACAAGATAAATACGTAATGACGGCTATAACTGACTTAGGGCAAGCGCGATAGTGCGGACGCAAAGCAATTGGCGGTTATTAATAACACGCCTCGGTGGTGTTATGTGTCCCATGGGTCAATGGGTGCCGAGACATCCAAATGTTGGTTTAATGTATACTATGATGCTGCGAACCACCAGCAGCATATGTTAGGGAAATCGCGACGGTGCGATATGCCAGGATATGCCCGATGAAATTAGGGAAAAGAAGCAGCTGGTGGCAGACGCAAGTAAGGGAATTATGTTGGCAGTCTAATGACGCAATAGGTCGTACAGGCTTGAACAGTTGAGGTACGAGGGCGAAGTACGCCGGTACAATGACGCGGGAATGACGTCATCGGGCCCTAGGATGGCGTGTTGGGCCTTATGTGCCATGAGTATATAAGGCGGTGGTCCGTAGCCATTCGCTGCTGTAGTTCAATTGCGCCCGCCGTACTCAGGCTAAATTGAGTTTGGCCTGTGTGCCCATAGGCGTCAGGTCTACCCGTACCCCTGCTCTATAGCGTGCAGCCCTTACTGGGCGGGGTGAGTGGGTCTGGCGCGAACGGGGAGGTGAGCCTCTCATACGGCGGGTTATCTCACTCGCTAGATACCTCAATATTGCCACTACAGGCTCCGGTGCGGATGTTGCGAGCGGTACGTCCAAGGGTTGTTGAAACACTCGCAGTACCATCTCGCTCGCAGCCGGGTTGTCGGGCTTCTTCAGCTTGGTTTAACTCTCCTGGTTGCAGGGTATCTCCGACGCTGGCGGGGTTTCCAGCCCCGCTGGCTCCCGTGATGGGTCACTGTCTCGCGGGTCGTCGGCTGTTCCCTTGTTGCTTGACCTCTCCCAACCTGGCTTGGGCTTGGCTCTGGACCTGGGACAGGTGGGTTTGCTTCTGTTCGATCGGCTTCTTGAAGCACCGAAGGCTGACTCCTGGTGGTCTGTTCGGGCTTGTGGATAGGTCACGGAGGTCTCTGCTGCCGGGCGTGATTCGCCGCCGGCACGCCTCGTGGACTTTCGGCTTCCTGCCGCTGCCCCGGTGTCCGGGCCGTGCTCCCCTTCGCCTATGTACTGTGATACCGGTGAGACTCGTATGCTCGCGTGTCTGCTGGGGCTCGTTCTCACTTGCGTGTTGGTGGTGTAGGCTCGGCCGACCTTTGCTGGGCTTCGCCTGGCTCGCGTGTCTCAGCTACCCCGTCGCACGGAGCCGCCGCCGCTTCCGGGTTATTACTCACGGGGGCTGGTTAAGGCGCAAGGGGTGATGGACGCCGCGCTTGCCGACACCACCCGCCGTCGTCAGGAGGCGGCCGCCTCCGAGTTGTCCTCGTGGGTCAACGGCGTCGGCGAGGGGGTGTGGCTGGGCAACGTCACACCCGAATACCTGCTGGTCTACTTGGTGGAGAGGTGGGAGCCAAACCACCCGGGCCGCAAGCAACCGGAACCCGGCCCGGACGCAGTGCAGGGCGTACTGTCTTCGCACAGCGGCTGGTTTATGCGGCTTGGCCGCGTGGGCCCTTACAACCCCATCACGGGTGAGGGCAATCCTTGCGACAGCCCTTGGGTCTCCGACTACCGTGCGGGCTACAAGCGGCTGCAGATGTTGGCTGTGTACGAGGAGGTCTCCGTGGTGCCGCTCCCACCCGACAAGGGGTTGGTGTCGGCTTCCTTGAAGCCGGAAAAAGGGCGGGGCCCCACTAAATCCGTACGGGTTATTAAGTTGTGTGCTAGGGCGGCGAGGGTGTCAAGTGTGAGAGTGTCCTGACAGTCCTGCTGTTATTAGACAGCCAGAGCTTTTTCCCGAAATGCCTGCTAGCCGAGTCGTTAGCAAGGCCTGCCGGCGCCGCGCGAAGCGCGTCATCCCGTCGGGTGCATGAGCGCATGTGCGCATCGACCGAAATACGGCATTTCCAAAGCGAGCGGCGAGGGCGTCAACTGTGAGAGTGCGGCGTGTCGA